GCATGTGAAGGGCTACCGACAATCCCTTTTAATAGAGCTTGCAACGTTAATGTAGCCGGAGCCACACGCGACACCCATTAGGGCCAGGGAGAGCTCCCGCGCATGTATTTCAAGGAAGCAGTAGATTCCCCGGTCCCAGAAGCTGTCTTCATTACAAAAGTCTAATATATCAGAAGAGAGAGAAAAGCTCGGCTTTTAGAATGCATTTTTTATTATTCAGCCTTCAGTGGAAATGTCACCTTTCTAAAGCAAGCTGTTATCATGTGTTTCCCATGCCAAACACATGGCCTCTAAGGAGAGGGTTTTATCTCTACATTTTTAGTGATTTGTATTTCTCTTTCAAGGACCTCCATGCCTTAAGGCACCCGAAACGCTCACAGCACAAGAAGGTAAGGTTACACGAGATGCCGCCGAAGAGGACAAAAAAAAACAGGGCCGGGAGCCGGCACAGCTTCTGACGGCAGCCGCCGTACCCGATAATTCACCTCCTTTAGTAGATTTAATTATTATCCGTTTCCTTGGTTGGGACCATATTCTCAAAGAAGCAGGGCGCCCATCAAATGCCGCCGCCGCATGACAGGCTGCGGCGCAGCCAGCACCACTGCCCCGGCGCCTGCCAACCAGCCAGATGCTGCCACATATTGGCATCTGGGGCCTGGAAAAGCAACCGCGGTCTCCGTTTGGCGGCGGATCCTGACCCCGATGACTGAAGGAGACAAAAGGAGGATAGAGGAGAGAGGGGGGCGGAAATCTCTCCTGACAATTTCACTGGTAAAGATTTAAACAAAAACCTATTGTTTAACCGCTCTCCAAATGAATAAGTTTCGGGGACACCCGGCATGTTCTAAATGCTGTCAGAGTCCAGGGTGCAAGGACAAGGGATTATTCATGAAAAGAAATAATGAGGAAACCAGATGCCTGCCTTTCTCAGCCCTCTGCGCTCCAGTCACCCTAATGGGGCATGTGCAGCGCTGCTCATCGAAGACTTCTCAGCCTTAAAACGCAGGGCAGGCGCTAACTAACTCTTCCCATCTCTGCCACTTAGAAAAATGCCCTCCCTTTTTCACAGGGAGGCTCACGCAGTCAATCAGCGGCACAGCAAAGGCTGAGGGAGAAGAGTTGCAGACCTTACCCCAGCCAGGGACAGTAACCAGTAACTGGATAGCCATGTTAACTGCACCCGCCAGAATAGCAAATAAATTTAAAAAAAAAAAAAAAAAGCTTATTTCTCTAACACTGAGGCTGAAACTACATGGGTGTGCTTAAAGTAGGAAAGCAAATAAGCTCTCTATACCTATTTTCATGAAATTGGCTTCTCTCTGTAATTGAAGGGTAAGCTCCTGACCCAGCAAAGTCAATGGGAAAACTCCCAGTGATGTTAATGGGGCTGGGACTTCACGCTGTGCGCTTACTTTACCCTAGAAAGCCTATTAGCTCAGGACTCTGCACTATCACAGAGCACCTCCTGAGGTGCCTGCAAGGAGCCAGAGCAGCCAAGGTCCTTCTCACGGGAACTCACCTCTTGCTTCGCCTTACTGGGTCTCAGCTTTGCCGGGCCTGGCAGGACACCCTGAGAGACCAGGGGCTGCTTGCGGGGGACCTCTTTGAGGTCAAAGCAGCTGTGAGGCTGGAAAGGAAGGAGCCCAAGGAGGCAGAGTAGTGGGGAAGGATGTAAAAAAAAAAAAAATTAAAAATCTGGAGAAAGGATATATGCCATTTGGCTCATGGTCCACGCTGTCGAAGTAGCTCTTCTCCATGTCTGGTTCGTAAAGGAAGATTATGAGCTGGCAAATGTCAGACCACAGTGCACAAGCAAGATCACAAGCAGAGCGGAGCTAGCCAGCGCCGTGCTCTAAATCATGGCGCAGCACCGGCCCCTCTCGTGGAGGCTCCTTCCTCGTTATCCCACCACTGCGCGAGGTAACATAAAACTCTCGTTACTCGCACGCTGCTGGGGTAAGCAATTTCCTAAAGCTTTTACAACCTCCACGCTTTCATTTTGTGGGAGTAATCCTCTCTCCTTGTTTTCATCGGTACATGGGGATAACAGCTGCATCTAATAATCCACTCCTGGGTCCCAGCGTTTTGGGGCAGCATTTCAGAACCAAAGGCACAGAAAGGGCAAGAAAATCTGTGACTGGGGCTGAAGGATGTAACGCAGGATGTGGATGGAGACGGCTGGGCAAACCTAGAAAACACCCTGGGGGTAAATGGCTCAGCTCGTGGAAGCGGATGGGAGAAACTGGTAGAGGTGAGGTGGTACCGAGGCAAAACGGCTCTGTCTTCAAGGCAAAGCAAATTGAGGTTAGCAAGGCTTTGCTGAGGAGGACTGCTGACCCCTGCAACATCTGCACTTTCCCTGGCTGGCCCATCTTTATCCAGCTCCACCACTTGCCAACTGGTTTGTCTAGCTTAGTGCCCCCAGAAGGACTTTTCCCAAACTTGCCAACCTTAGGATCTCAGCAGCGAAGCATCAAGGCGACCGCCCGCAACCTTCCCAAGAGGATGCTAATTCCCCGCTGCCTGGCGTTGCACGCTTCCCCAGCCCTCCTGCCCATCACAGTGCCACTGCAGCCCTCCAGCAGCAGCTCTAATCCCTCCTGATAGGTCCCTGGGCCAAGAAGACGGAGACAGAGCTGCCTTTGGAGAAGGAGAGCCTCTGGTCTGCCAAGAGGCAGTGAGGTCCTGTTGGGGCAGCGCATTAAGCTGTCACCCGTTGCCAGGAGTCTGGAGCATCCTCTCTGCTGTGCCCTGATTAGCCTCCTCTGCAGGGCAGCAGGGGCGCAGGAGATTTCACCGCATGGCACTAGCAAGACATGGGACTGCTTCCACCATTTTGCCACCCGGAAGTTGGGATTTTCTTGAGGACACCTCACCTTTGGGCCAGGGCTCCCCGGTTCTGCTCCTGCAGATGACTTAGGCAGCAATCAGCCCTCCACCGGGCCCCGCGGCGCAGGAGACAGCCGTGTGCTGCCAAGTCTAAACCACTTCTGCCAGCGGCAGCTGCTCGGCACCTTTTAAGCAAGTCCCATTCCCCCTCTGGGAGTTGGCTCCGCCACCCCTTCCCAAACTGCAGCTGGAGCCACACAAGGCACCCTGTCCTGGGGGCTGCCTGAGCCCCTCACACACGCCCCATGCCCCCGCTGCAGCTGCCAGCGTCCCCACTGCTGTTCGGCCAAGTCCCTCGCTCCCCCGTCTCGCCCCCTTGCCCCCATGTGCATTCACGTAAGCAGGAGCTGCGCCCCAGCCTCGTGACCTTGCCAAGGTGCTTGTCCTCCTGCAGTGCCATGGTGTGACACCCTCACAGGGTCCAGCTCTGGAGGTGAGATCATATGGGAAGTCCTTGGGCACTCAGGGTGGCCCAAGCACCAGGCCTGGTCTGGTCCTCGCTACGCCCCAGCCTGCCAATTGTTGGTGGGTACACGCTACACAACGACCGTTAACGTACATGGTGCCACGTACCGCTGCAAGGCGAGAGCCCGTGGGAGGCCCGGCCCACCACACCAGGCAGGAGGCTGCTAGGCAGAAGCATGGCGGAAGGAAACAAGAGGCACTGGTCACACAAAGGGTCTCTCCAGCGGCATCTCCCACTGTACCCCAAGGACGCCATGCAGCGAGGACAGGCAGTCCTGAGGTAACGAGCCGCTGAGGCAGCATTTAACAGGCCGCTGCTGCAGAGACAAAGATATCCTGCCCATGCAACTTCTTAGACCCTGCAAAAAGCTGTGGGGCTCTGATCTGAAAGCTACGTGTGGCTCAGAAAGCACACAGAGCTGCGGGCCAGCTGCAAGAGGTGCTCTTCAGCCGCAGACGCTGCTGACTGGAAGAGGACTTTGGGGTGCTGAGCCGGGGTGCTGAGCCGTGGACAGACCGGGCCGCAGGCTGGCTCGCCGGCACGCGCTGGGGCCCAGGTAAAGGCCCCCTCCGGCACAGCGCGGGGCCGGGCAGCAGCCAGGAACCACGGAGTTCAGCTCACAGCAAAGCCCACACAGAAAGCGCAAACCCGAAGAAATCAGCAAATGTACTTTTTCATTTTATTGCTAAAATCCCTACCATAAATCTCGCCAGAGAGGAAGTTTCTGTTTCTCCAGCTTCCTACTCGGTGTCCTTGAGAAAACAAATGACACCACACTCAAAAAAAAAAAAAAAATCCTGTAGTGGTTTACTTCACACTTCCCTGTACCTTGTTATGCTGAGTGCTTCATTTAGAGAAGGCTGACCTCCCCAGCCTTCTTCATCCCAGTGCCCTTCGCTGCGGGGACACACCAAGGAACAGGTTTAGCACTGGAGAGAGGAGCCGGGTGGATGTTCCAGCGCAGGTAACCCTGCCGACTCAGCATCCCAAAGGTGCGCGGAGAGTCAGCGTGACAGTGACTGCTGTCTGAGAGGTGATTTTCACAGGAGATATAGGGGCTGTGCTACAAGCACAGAAGCTGTGAATACAGCCATTAAAAGCGAACAAAGTTATGCCCCTTGTATTTCATGAGATGTAATTTCTTCCGTAGGTCTGGGCAGGGGCCCTGGCTCACCTCACTGCAATTCTACCCAGTGCAAGCCTTCAAACATTTTGTCTCCCGGTTTTTATTAGTAGGACACAAAAAACATTACAGAGTGGTTCAACAAGGTGCAATGAATTACCACTTTGAGATGTCCTAAGTGTGTTATCTGCCTTACCTGAACACCCACAGGAGAACAGGAAGATCTATAGGTTTATTTTACTGTGTTTTACATAGACTCTCGCTAATTCCTGTGAACAAAATGGCACTGATTTGTTTTGCCATCAGCCATTAGGTGTAACAGAAGCAAGGTGGAATGGACTTTGCACTACTTAACAGTCAGCAAAATAGAGATGTCCACCACAGGGCTTCGTAAGAGGAACCAAAAAGAAGATACCTAGGACATTTCAAGTCATAAAAGCCCAGGACAAAAAGCATTGATTAGGTAGGAGGGATTGTCTTCAAGAACTAAATGTAAAGTTCAGAAACCCAAGGTCTGAATTAGGCTTGAAAGGTTTTGTTTATTAAAGGAATACATGTAAACACCTATACAACATAATACACGTTAAAGGAAAAAAAAAACAAAGATAGAAGCAGGATTTTTTTGTGCTATTAACTCCAGACTGTGCTTCCTTTAGCAAAACCATTATCTGGGTCAGTGGTAAGGTTACGAAAACTTGTAGCATCTCAAAGGCTCATTTCTGGCAAGCCATCCTGCCAAGTGCCCCATTCCTTCTAGTCTCCGTGATCTAGAGTTCCTCACTACTAACATACTTGAAATATTTCTGTGTCACTAACTAAACCAAATGCTTTGCAGTGAGAGTGACTGGTCATCTGGTTTCTGCGAGAACAGCGTTTTCCTTCTGCGGCTCACAGAAACCAGCTTGTGCTCCTGTGCTATCTTACCCCTCCTTTACTTGCAACCGGCACACGGGCGCAACCTGAACAAGAGACCATTTTAAAGTAACTTGGAAAATATTTTTTTTACAGTTGTCGCCAGGCAAATGCGATGGGACAGTTCAACACAGGCAACGACATTATCTGGTGGCCGGGCTAGAGAGCCCCAGGGATGGCGTCAGGTGGCTGAGGGAAGGCAGGCTTCCCTTGAGCGACGAGCCCTCTCCAAAGTCACAGCCAGGGCAGTGCTGGAAGGAAGCTCTGGATCAGCTTGGTCTCCGCATTAGAGATTTCCGACCCGCTCGGCGCAGGAAGTTGTTCCTGTGGCTCACCTGAGGGAGTTCCTGTTATGAAGCCAGAGGGTGGTAGGTTGAAACACAGTTTCTGAGAGTGATGTAATCTTGGACAGCACTCCGTAGGCAGTGATACTAGTGACCTGGTTACAACCTGCAGTGTTGTTACAGCCCCTCTGCTGGCCTGGTGATCACAAGAAAGGGAAGAAAAAAAAAAAAGAGGGGAGCGGAATAATTTAAAAAGGAAAAAAAAGTTTCCAGATTTCCTTTGTTTAAGTGAAGCATTTTCCTTTTCCACTTTATTTGAATACACCGACCTGGTGTCTAACAGATGGAGACTGTGCAGATGCACTTTTGGGAGTGCCCATAAAATACACTGCTAAAATACAAATGGAGGGATATTTTTTTTTTTTTTTTTAGTTGTAAATTCAATAATCATTGCTGTCACCTCACTGTCCCAAAGGAATTTGCCCTTTGTTCTCCGGATAAAGCTGGGGAGAAGAAGAAAAAGGGGAAGAAAAAAAAAAAAACAGTGAGAGCAAAGGGAACATTTAGGAAAAAACCCACAGATCCATAATCTGTACAAGCATCGCAGCGTACGGCATTTGTACGTCAGGAACCCATACAAGCATGGCTGCTTAGCAGCAACAGCAGCGCCCAGCAAAATATTCTGCACGTCTGATATTCTTCTCCCATTCTCCAGACCTTTCTAACAAACAAACAGGTCAGCTAATTGGCTCGCGCCCAAGTCTTACCCACTAGGGTTTGCTCAGAGATGTCACTTAGTCATTTGGCATGAGCAAACCCCAGGCTTCTTCCTGTTCGAGCAGCAGAGTGGGTGAAGGCTTTCTTTGATTTATTAAGACTATTAACAAACAAACAGGAGAGTTCAGAAGCTTCCTCAAGCAGAAGAGCACGAGCAGAAAGGTTTTTTCCTGAAGTAGCAGCTAAAAATAGGACACTTAGAGGAAGTAAAGTTCATTAAGTGATAAAGTGGTGGCTGCAGTGATGAGAGAAGAGTTTTTCCTTTTTTAATCTATACATTTATTTAGCATTATGTTTTCTTGCTCCTTGTTAGAGTGCTAAAGCAGTGTTTATCCGGCTGAGGAAAAGAAGATTTCCCTTTTGGTAGTGACTTTAACATGTAGCTCATCAAATACAACAGAGTCAAGAGTTTTGAACAGACATTGCCAGCCAGCAAAGTACAACATTTGACAGCATTATTTGCCTTTTATATGCTCTTCCCACAGTGGGAAATGATATGCCATTTTCAAGACACATTCCACAGTATTATGCAACAGCTTTCCTAGTTTTTAATTGAGATATTATTTTTAACCTGTCAACTTTTGCATAAAGCATTTTAGTATTTTATTCAGCATATACCATTAATAAATTATTTGCTCCTTCCTCCCCCCGCCCTCCCAGAGCTGCACTTAGCATAGGGAAATGGTCTAGTGACACTATAAAAGATACTTGCAACTGGCACGGTCTATGGACACTTCCATCATCAGACAAAGCACCAGGAGCACATTCCTGTTTCTACTTAGTCAACAAGCTGGCAATGCTAAACGTGCTCTGCCCAGGAGTTTCATCACAAACCACCCTTTGGTGAAAAGACTTACACACACGTAGCAACCAGCTGCCGGAAAAATAAGCTAGCACCCTGTACAACCAGTGACTCCTGTTAAAAGTGTTCACTTTTGGCCTGATTGCTCCAGCGTCCTTTAGTCATGACGTCCAAATGGTTTGAGACATCCAAAGGAAGCAAGTCAGGGTGCTTCTGTGCCAGAGAAACTTATCCGCTTGACCTGAGTTTGTTCAGAGGGCACGCATCTCTCATCTCAGCAGATCTGCCCATTCTATAAGGGCAAAAAATGGATGAGATTTGATGTCTTCAACACCAGCAACGCCAGCACCAAGACGCTCCGCAGGATTAAACTGCAAAAGCTTGATATAAAAAGAAAAATATATATGTGATTCAGTAAGAACAAAAACAACTGCTTAAAAGTTCCACAAAGGTCTAAGGTAAGGGACATCCTACCGTTTTCCTGCTCTATGAATTACTTTCAAGAGTGCGAAAGCATACTTGAAATCCCTAAAAATCCAGTAAATGGAAGAAGACTCTCCTTTCCTTGAGTCTCAGTGTTACAGTCTTCAGAGACTACTGATCACAGCATGCAATTCCCCGAAGCACTGCACATTGGGACTTCATTTTAAGTGTAACCTCATTTAAAGAAAGAGAGCAGCAGCCAGAGCCTGCATCGGTAGAACTCTGGACACTGCGTTTGCTTCATGTTAACCTTTGCTCACACCACTGTGTTACGGCTACAGCGGGGACAGTGGTCTGTAACTTTCCGTTTCATAAATTGTGAGTTGGTCCTAAAATACCAGGGTATTACAGCCAGTTCTCTATTTCCTAAAAAACAAACAAACAAACAAAAAAACCCCCACAAAACACAAAAAACCCCACAAAGTTTTAAAGAGTCCTACAAATGGACGAAAACTGAAAAATCAAAACCCCAGTGAAAGAAACAAAACATTGTAATGGCTTCACGGAAATTTCCTAAAATTCAGCACCTCATTTGCTTTTTTAGTTGTACATCACATGCTGAATTCATGTGAAAAGGAAATCACAATATTTACATCTATTTAAAGATACCAATCCATATAAAAGGGAATGCAAAGGTAATACTCCAAAGAGACTAATAAGGACACACAAAAATATTTTGCGGTTTTAGAGAACTGTTTATACTCTATTCAGTTACAGCCAGTACAAAGGCATGATTTCTTTCTTGCTTCTCCTGCAACAGCTAATAGGATAACTTCTCCCAGTTGTCACTTGGAACAATGTGTATTCATATCTTAATGCACTCGACATCTAAGTGAGTCTACATCCATAAACATGGGAATTTACACATTTTAAGATGGCTCTGCTATTTGCAGTCATAATGTCACATAATAAAGGTAGCTCGGTGACAGTGAATAGTGCTGCTCTGATATCTTCCACAAGCCAGCAGAAATAGATGCGGTCCGGGTCTCTCTGCCTTCTGCTGAAACACAACCAGCACCAGCAGGGGGAAAGTAAGCACAGACACTTATTTTCTGGAGTTTGTCCTTCCAGAAGAACTTTAATCTTAGAAAGCAGGTGCAACACAAACAGCAACAGATACCTATTGAAAAGTCATTTTGCATATTTTGTTGGTAGGAAAGCCTGGAGGTGCCTGAAAAAAAATACTGGGTGCAAAATACCAAACGAACATAAAAATAACAACTTCATCTTTCACCAGAAATAAACAGATCTCTGTTTTCTTAGAAGCTGGCTATATGAAGGAGGTGTTTACAATGAAGTCACCTGCACTGGAAGCCACAGCAGGAGACAACGCCTGACACAGTTTTCTGTATAGCTGAACATTGATCCCGGAGAGTTATTCTGTGATGCTTTGACCTGTTTACCCTTGGCAGTGGGGGGAAGGAAAGTCGCAATGACAAATTGCTATCCATGCCAAGAGAGCTTTCTTCCTTTTCCTGACAAGGCTTCCTCAACAATGAATGGCAGCTTCCTTGGATAGTCACACAACAAAAATGTGATTTACTAGCTCATATAGCCGAACCTCCACCAGATAAGTCACCACCCTACACTAGAAGGCTTAACCTAACAGGCACTGGAGTGACTGTTCTCTGAAGAGATATGGCCTTGTAATATATCTGCGAGTGGCAGAGATATATTTGCCACTTAAACCGCAAGTGGCAAAAGAGCCACTCTTTGGCGTATTTGAAAATAGGCAATACATTAGTCTGCAGTGAAGAACAATCCTACATTGGCAGGGAGAAGTGGACTGGACGACTTCATTTGTCTTTACTTCCAGTCTTAATGGGAGAAATTCCCTTCACCAAGTGTGGTTTTGCTTTCCTTTAGCCATCTGAGTCCTGTAGCACCTGTGGGTGAGGGTAACAATTTCCTACCGTCTAACAATATAAATGCAGATTATACAAAAATGGGATTTTTCTTTAGTCACTTCCCTTTCTACCTTTGCCAGAAACGCACAGACACATGCTTTCACCTTCAGTGACTTCATGTCGCCTAGTCAAAATAGGAGGTCCAAACGTCTAGTTCCATTTCCATTAATCATTTCACAGTAATGGCACAGAAATCAATCTGTCACTGCGTCTTTTGACTCACTGAATTTTCAAAATCTCTTTCCTTCGTTTTCTTCAAGAACTGTTTTTTTCCACTCTGCTCTGTTCAAATCTACATCTAAGTGATGTCATTATTTATGCATCCACTAGCAAGATACTCTTCAAAGCCAAACAACACAGTTCACAGATATCACTTATTCTACTCAAGTAGAATAGGTCAGATCCAGGCTCTGCTTCCTCAGTTAGGTCAGAGTTAACTAGAAGGAAGATAGCATTATATGAAATTCAAGACCCTGTACTACAGGTTTATTCTCTCAGTCATGACTACCTAAAGCTAAGAGTAAACTAAAACCAGCAGTCAATGCTATTCCCATTAGTTTGAAAATGGTGTATCAGTCTGGAAGGTTGTCTATATTTTAAGGTTTCCTACTCTGCCTTTTGTCCAACCTACCAGTTATCTTCTTACAAAAGTCACTGTATTCACAATTTAAAGTACTTTTCTTAACAAATGGCACCCAGGTTTCCTGGAGGACAGCTACAGATTTTCAACCACAGCAAGGTCATAACTTCTAATCAGCGTGTTACAGGTTTCATAGTACTTAGAGCTATCTTGCTGAATTGTCATCAACATTTTTTAGTTTAATTCAATTCATTACAAATGTTTCCATGAACCTTTAGGGCAGAATTCCTAAAATGTTCGTGCATCACCAGCAGGTGTTTCCAAAACACTCAGCATTGACCAAACTTGTTCTCTGAAGAAATGGCAAAGCACTCCGGTTTTCTACAGAGACACCTGGCAGCAGAAGTCAAAGTTTCCAGATGCAACAAGACAGTGGGCAAAATTCATCAGTGCTGACAAAAGACCCATCCACGTTCCTATCGGCAGCTTTCTGTTTTTACATTTGCTTCACCAGAAGAACTTAGGTAGATAAGTATTTGCCCAATCTACACGTGTACCTACAGAAGACAAATTTTCCCCTCGATTACCTGCTGAATCAGTGATCTGGCCTCCTTTGATACATGGTCTGGTATACTCAAAGAAGTGTGAGTGTTTATTCCTGATGGATGACACTCAACCAGAGTCTGGAGAAGAAAAAAAAATTAAAAATTAAAAAAAAAAAATCAAAGCTGGCAGATACATTTATTAATTAAAAAATTGTAGTGTTGGATTATCTCCTAGTATACATGCAAATTAACACACACAGCTAAAATTTCAGTGCTTCCTAGTATGAAGTACTGATTCTGGGAGGAACGTCTACAGGCACTGATGTCTCCCTAGAGATACAGTTTTAGAACATTTACGTCTTAGTGCTTGTGCTCTATTGCTCAGACTTGAAGCGTCTGGGAATTTGGTGGACTTTGCTTTCTTCGTGCAGAACTGTCAGCTAATCACCAGTTTGATTTGGCTGAGCACTCTTTGTCTCAAAATACCGAATTAATGTGTAACAGCAACATATGGCTTCTACCCTGTCCCAGGAAATAATACTGAAACTATTAGGGCAAAAATTTTGCAAAGGTACAGAAGGACCGTTAGAGGACTTTGCTTTCACTGTGGTTAAGAGGGCAGCATGGGTTTTGATTATTTTTCAGTCCTGAGTTTGATACGGCTTTATCAAGTTGTTCTGCTGAGGCTTGAGCATGTTTCGTTTCTCTGGCCCCATGCAGACCAAGCAAATTGAGGGTACTCAGGTCGGCAAAGCACATCTGAGAAAGACAAGCAAGGAAATCACAACTGGGCCCACCACTTGTGAGAAACTACTGGCCAAGAGGTCAGTTTTATCGAGCAACTTGCCCTCAGCCCTACCTTCCCGGTGAGGAGTTCAAAAAGAATGGCACCCAGGCTCCACCAGTCACAGGCTTCTGTCTCTTCTAGGATAGCGCCAACCTCTAAACACAAGACATTTCAATTAATATTAAAAAGGTCAGTTACACCTTCAAAATTAACATATATTTACAAGGTGACTGTTTAATGCTGACAGAACATATACTAAATACCACAGAGCTTTCATTATGCCTGCAATTTAGTTAGCCCTTTAGCCACCTACAGACTGCATTGTTCAAACACAGCAACACTATACATTTCATCCATAATTTGCCTTTTCCATGCATACATAGGCATTTTCAAGACTTGTAGGCATTACAGTTAGGACTCTTCTATACTGGACTAAAACTGGACAGTGACAGACAGTAAAGCAAAACATATTTAGAGAATTTACCCTGGCCAGAAGACTGGACTGACCAGAGTGGCCTGAAGCATCCATAAAAGCAGCACAAGAGAGGTTATAATAGTCTACTGCATGCCTTAATTCTGTCTTAGAGGGCAGGATTCTTCTCATGGCTAACCCACACCCTTTGCTGGGATCACCATAGGAAGCTTTTCACAATAGCCTCTCATCTGTTGGGAACCAGATAGCGATGCTAAATCTGCTTCACATAGCCTAACCACAGCCAGCAACTGTGTATTGCTACAGCTCAGCCCAAACTGCACCTAGGTACAAAAAGTTTTCCCTAGCACCCAGCCAGCACCCAACACTCTCCTATTGCTGTCCTTGCACAAGAGACTGTGGAGAGGTAAGATGGGAGTTATAGAGTCCCTTGCCATACACATTCTCGTATTCAATAGCATGATGCATGCAGAAAATTTGGCCTTCACTGACTCAGGCTTTAAACCACAAAAATTATTAAATACAAACACACCACGCTGTCTGCTCTAAAACAGGCAGAAAAACAGATTGCAGTGAAGATGAAATCTTCATTTTGACTGTCAAAAAAATGCAGAAGCTGCACTAAAATAGCTTTGGTGGCAAAAGCCATACCAGCTTCCCAGCAGAGGACAACAATTAGCATATAGTCACATAGTCGTTGCTGTGAAAAGCATTGTGGCATGTTCGAAAAATCTTGCTCATCATTTTATGGAGCTTAGCATGAGCATGGCCAAGGAGAACTACAGATGAGTCACACTCCAGGGTCAGGGAAAGGAAGGCGGTAGCCCCAGACCTCCCCAGATGCAGAGATGCACACACACGCTGAGCACGGGGATGTGCAGCGGGCTGCCCCCTCGGGCAGCTGCCACACAAGCTGGAAGACGCTCAGCACCTTACAGGACTAGGCTGAGGCTGCTGTTGCAAGAGCAGCAAGGAAGGATGGCTCAGACATTGTTTCTTTAGGTAGGACATCCCTCACATTGAAAAGTTTATTACAGTTAATGGCGTTTGAATGCCCAATACATTACTATAAGGGTGCCACACATGAGAATTTATTCCATTCCTTACAGATTAATACTTCTATCAGTATCAAGAAACTTTTATAAGGATATAATGGCAGCCACATGAGGAACTGTATCAGCATAATTGCATGCATTTTTAAAACGTTCCCCCGCGGCCCCCTGCCACACAAGCTGGAAGACGCTCAGCACCTTACAGGACTAGGCTGAGGCTGCTGTTGCAAGAGCAGCAAGGAAGGATGGCTCAGACATTGTTTCTTTAGGTAGGACATCCCTCACATTGAAAAGTTTATTACAGTTAATGGCGTTTGAATGCCCAATACATTACTATAAGGGTGCCACACATGAGAATTTATTCCATTCCTTACAGATTAATACTTCTATCAGTATCAAGAAACTTTTATAAGGATATAATGGCAGCCACATGAGGAACTGTATCAGCATAATTGCATGCATTTTTAAAACGTTTTAAGATCCCCGGCAAGCATCCAGATGAAGTTGAAATTATGGTAAATTGAGAGAATTTGTGTAAAAATCAAAATCTGTTCTTGCAATTTAATTTTACGTCCCTTCAGAAAGGCAGACCTTCTAGGTAACTGTCCTTTAAAAAAGTAAAACAAAAAACCAAACTCGGGCCTTTCTACATGAACCAGCTGGCGAAAGGTTTTCATAGCATCTCTCAGTGAAACCTACTGAGTGGAAATGCCTTTCCAGTCTGATTGTGATTTCCTAGTGCTGTATGTTCCAATAATGTACATTCAAAAACAAGATAACATGAATGGAAAGTAAAATCTAAAACCAAATACTTTAGGCTTCTTTAGAGCAGAGTTTTCTTTCCCGTGTGGCTTTAATCCTGGGAATATTCTAGACTAATAGAGCTTTCTTCCAAACAAGTGAAGATTTTTATTTTTAAATTAAATTCCACACTTATTCCAGAATAAGGACGGTAAAGCCAAGAGTTAATTAAGATTGACTACTACATTCTCAGTTCCTATACTACCATTAACTTCCCCATATTGACACATCTTAAATTTCAAAATAATGCCACAAAAGGAGAGAATCCATTCTTCCCCAAAGACACTCAGTGGGGATGGGCCTCTTGAGTTACAGCCCAACACAAAAAAATATTCTAAAGGTGAAAAAAACATCACTCTGAGCACAGGGAAAAGAAACATTACAAAAAATTCATTTCTGAGTTTTGGTATTATTTCCTTTTATGTTGGCAATCACAGCTGCTGATCCAGTTCTTTGAAGCATCAAAGTTACGCTGCCTTCTTTCACAGAATCACACACTGTTCGTTACCTCACTTACTTCACTGATGAAGAAAACGGACACAGAGTAAGAGTCAAAAAGGAAGCTAGAGTCCACTTCTCCAAAATCCAAGCTCATATTTTCAACTGTAAGAACACTTTCAATATATGCCAAGTCAAAACAAATGTCATTGCAGATCTCTTGAGAGCAGCACTGAACTCTTCCGTCCACTTTTGACCGTGACCAAAATGACACAAGTGGGTTAAACTGAGAACAGTCAAGTTACACAGATCTCTCCCTGGGCTGAAGGGCTCTGGCTGGGTTCTCGTGCACACAGCAGAAACTGTGTGACAAGTCATCTGAACCAACACAAAACAGAAGATGGAAAACTCAGCTGAGGGGAACATCTGAGTATCCTTTTTTACAAAAATTAAATTTTAGCTCAACTTTTCTCCTATTACCCAATGTCTGCTTTCCTGCTGCTTTCCCTAGGTCCCAAAGTGTCCTTACTTCAGATTAAAATAAATGTTTTCCTTGCGGGGGAGGGGGGGGAGGAAAAAATCATTGTGAATGCTACAAATAAATATATGTTGTTTACATTCCCTTACTTCAAACAGGTCACACTACTTCTGATGCAATATGCTGATCATAATAAGTTCAGGATATCACATCAATATTACTGCATTTTATCTTGACTACACATCATGGGAAAATTTAGAAACTATAGATTATGAAGTGCTTTCAAGTGATACAGAGTAGCTAGCTAATGTAATATACCACACAGGGCATATGCTTTTTTTAAACCTTTAATATTGCAGTAAATCTGAACTACAATATCTGCCTTCACTAAGAAAACATTTTCATCTCAATCCATCAGCAAAGTAATTTAGACAATAAATGGTAGCGACCCATAAGCTTAAGTGAATAACATGGGGATATTTGTGCCAATTCTTTACTTCATGAACCTTGAAATCAAGGACCTTATCCACATTTGTACAAACATAAACAGCGCACACATGTGCACGGTGTTGGTGTTTCTAGGACTCGCAGTACAAAATTTGCATTAAAAAATATTCCTGTCATTCTCAAATACAAAATCCTTTTAAATCAGAGAAATAAAAAAGTAGGGTGAAAAAAAGAATCAGTAGCTCTTCCAACTTTACTGCAACTTCATTAAAAGGGAGAGCTTTCTTCTTTCTCCCTTCCTGATGCATGCCCGTATGACATCTAGCACCAAGCAGCACATGTCAACAGCAATGCTAAATTCCTGCACAGAAGCAATTTCAACAGCAGCCGTTGGGGTAACTGAAGGGAAGGAAATTTGTAAAACGCTATCAGGTTCAGATAGAGACAGATGGTACGGGTAAACACCTTCACTACCCAGCACTGTCCTCCTTCCAGAGCAGCTGGTCTCAACTGAAAGGCCATTTCTTTATGGTTTTCATACTTATCTCAATATTTGCATTACACACAGTAATACCTTACTTCCTGATAAGGGATAGGTAGCTGACAACGCTCTGTATTTTTAAACAGACGTGCAAGTTCTAAAGTAAAAAAGCAGAACTTTGCCTCTCTTGAACACACATCCTTGATAAAGTCATTAACTGTAACACCAAGGCTGATTTTCTCATTCCTTCTACAGCACCTTAACCTGAAATAAACCCTTCATGCTGAAGGATTTCAAAGGCTTTTACTACCACACCTCAAACATTTTCTCCCAAATACAATTTCCTCCAGGGCTGACAATAAGGCCTCCCGACCAGCAGGAGGCCAACAAACACAGTTAACATAAAAGAAGCCAGGCTTAAAGGTGGACTTAGACATTCGCTGTGCAACTCAGGCCAGATGGCTTGCGAATCACCAAGAACAAAAACTCGATCAAAAACTTTGTAGGATAAACTGTAACACCCAAAAAAATGCACCTGAAGTCAGCTCACAAGAAAATAGGCTCTAGGTGGAAGTATTGCTTCTCCAAACACCTAAGAGTCATGAAGGGCTTTGCATTGAGGTGGTTTTCCTGGAATTAAGAAGGGAACCATTTGACTCCTGGTGGATTGATAAGAATTTCAAAACCTGAGGAGGCACTTTCCCTTACCCCGTGTTTCAAGCAGAAACAGCATACCTTCAAGTATCGTTTCTGCACTGATAAGAAAACGAGGAGACCCATCTGAACTACCATCAGGTGCCTGAAACTGTTCAGGAGGAAATGGACTTGTCCAACATCCTGAAAACATCAGACATAATGTTTTCCCCTTCTGTGGCCATTAAGATAAACAGTATTGCACGAAAAACCATTAGAGTCGCTTCGGAAATTCTATTTACCTTACACTCATTTAATTTTAAAAGCTTACTATTTTATCATATTTTAATATCTATATATGTAAAGAAGCATTTGCAGAGAACCAAGTAAAA